GAGCTCCTTGTATTAGAATGAATAATCACCCATCTCACTAATGTGATCACAGGCTTCTGTTACTTACACTAGTCAGGACAACAATAAAGAGAATAGGGTTTATCAAGAGACAGGTTTTCCCAAAAGGCTCCCGTCCATGTGTGAGATGTTTTTGGTCATTTCCATGTACACCTTTAAGTGGTCCATGGATGAGAGAACAAAGGGGAAGTTAGGACTTTGGTTTTTACTGTATAAAATGGAAGAGACTTCATGGAAAATTTGAAAGGAGAAAGAAGAAGGGGCTTTTGTTCAGGCACAACTGACGTGGCCATTGTCTTTTGTTCAGTGGCAAATAAGCACAACCAGAAAGAACACTTCTTACCCTCTACTTACAAGATTAATTTTGCCAATTCTACATGTTCTGATCAATGATACAGTGTGTTAAAAGTCACTAGGAGAAAGTATCTCCCTGTCGTGCATACCATTTAGACAATGGGGTCAACCAGGTGCCATATGATGCCCAAGCATGAGCAAGAGTCAAATAAAGTTACTGTTAGCTCATAACAGAGAAGAAGGCTTCCATGACAAGGAGAAAGAAACTGGGAGAGAGCTAGAAAGAGACACAATTCCCAGCCTCCCTATGAGAAAATGCTGTGAGCCCAAGCCCTCATCTTAGGCGCCATAATGGGAATCATAGAGACATACAATCCTCCAAATACCGTTGAATTAACGAGGAGAGGAGTCACTTCCATTTGAGCTTATTGTTTCATTAGATATTAAATATCCTTATTTAGGCATTACAACTTGTCATTTCTTCACTTTTGCCTGGAAGATCCATACATGATAAGATCCACACATGATAATCAATGCTTATACCTGAATAATTTAAAAAAAAAGAAAACCTGTTTTAAAATCAGAGATCCTAGTGAGTTCAAAATGAGTTTGTGGTGAGCAGGGGACAGAAAATAGACATGGAGGAATACCAAAGTTGTCCTCACCCCTGCTTGGGATCACCAAGGCTAGAGACATTGATATTATGATTTGGAGTGGTAATGAGGTTACCTGGATGTGACAGAAGGGCTAGATGTCCCTACAGAGAAAGGATATAGGAAGTGCATCACTTACATGGGGAAAAGTGGCTGAGGCAGCAGTTGAGATGAAAGGAGTCATCTTAGACACTGAAATCACCAGTGAAAATAGCAGATCTTGGAGACTAAGGATAAAATCAGGAGCTACGGTCCAAGTCGTCACATCATCAAAAGATACTTGGAAGAGCTATGATGAGAGAAAAGTGGAGAGGCTAAGGGAACATACATGCATGAAATAAACCAAGAACACGTACTGAACTCTATAAGGTTTTGGGATAATTATTTTGCTGGTAATTGAGAGGCAATGAGGGAATTAACTCTACCACTCCTTCTGAAGCATGGAGCAGGTAAGCATAATTACTTTGGAGGAAGCTGGGATATTATTTTGTATAGCTGGAAAAGAATCTGATTAAAGTGGCAAGGGTATGGAAGACTGATAATCATGAGAATGGCTTCAATAAATCACAAATAGAAGAGGTTTGTGACAGAATAACTTGAGGTATTGCCTTAGGAAAAATGAAACAGAGTGTAAGAAGATGCAGGACAGGAAAGACATCTACAGGAAGATGTGCTAGCTAATTATGTTGCTATGAGAATAGTCCCTTGGCTAGGGAATGGTGTGCAACCGGTATACTCGGTAGAGTCAAGGTGTCTTACAGGGACCTACGAAGTGTGACCATGTACTCACCATTCGTATAACTCTTCTTATATGCCAGAAAGTTAGTGATAGTTGCAGAGAGATACCTAGTGTATGGAGGTAGGAGTAGTGATGTCAGCAAGAAGTCAAGAAAATATAGGTGTCCTTTTGGCAGCAAAAACCATAATGTCATCCAGGATACCCCCACAAAGGTAGCTCCACAGAGGTTGAACCCCTCCACTGTGGACCAGAATAGGGAAGAACACTCAGTATATAATGACTACCTCAATTCCTACCCAAATCTTTCAGATGCAGAAACGACTCAATGATAAGAGAGCCCTAGATTATAATATCCCTGAGCCAGCCTCATGGCTTCCCACCCAAGTCTCAAGTCTATCTGCACCCTAAGATGTGGTCAGTTGGTCAATGACGCATTGACTCTTACGGTCTTGAGGTTACCAATCAGAGATTTCCTAGAAGTCGTCTGGACAGAAATAAATGTCAGAGATGAGCAACTTTAACTCATGAACTTTCTACATGGCCTTCATATATATTTTTACTTGATACTTAAAAATGAACCAAGTATTTACTCATTCTATCAACAAAGCATCTTAAAAAGATAACTATAGTTTGACTGACAGCAGAGTGGGATATACTTTGTTCTGGAAATGTAATGGTGGATGAAACATGATACTTCCTCTCAAAAGCTCAATACCAAGTTCTGGCATTGGACACAGATTTCCTACGGAGAAAATGCTCTACAGGACACGTTGTAATCTCAAAACAAAGTGTGGGAAGAATGGAAGACATGATCATAAGAAAATAGGTAATAAATTAAGGGCAAATATGGGTAATGCAAATATATAATTTAATTAATTTTAAAGACAACAAAAAATGCAATAAATACAAATCTTGAATAAAGAAGTTGCAGAAAATAGAAGTCAGAAATTAAAAATAGAAGCCAAAAATGAAACATTATCATAATTCACAAGAAAGACAATAATGAACTGACTCCTCATTATGCACAGCAATAGTTTAAGGGATTGTGATTGAGAAAACTCAATATGATGAAAGAGATATTAGCATAACATCTGCTAGAGAGAATCCAGAGACTTCACAGTAAGTCAAAGGGACTTTGATCATTCCTGGCTTCTGGGTCCACCTCATCCAGATACACCTGGGTCAGCCTGCTTAGGCATAAGCTTAGGTATTCAATATTAACTAAGATGTCTTCTGATTGCATAGACCACACTGAGTTTCATGACATTATACTTTTAAAAAAACCATGAATTTTATTATATATGATAATCTAAAGATTTGCAAACATGGAATACTCCTATTTTGATTTTATGGGGCTGAGATGCCAGTGTCAGCAATTCCTGCCCAGTTTTCATCTCGTCACCAACAGAAGACAGGCTAGTGTGTGTTACTCTCTTCTTTGCCAGAGCAATGAGGAAGATATTAAGGGAATAATCTCTGTGACTCTTATAAAAATTATTCCATAATTTTAATTTTCAATTTTTGATTGGCATTGATGGAGTCCTCCCACCTTTATCTTTGTGTTTAAGCAAAACAAACCACTCAGTAGAGTCCACAGGATGAAGTGTTCTGTGTCCATATCTCTATTGATTATGAAAATATTTATTTACACAAATTTTGTCCATTTCCTCTTGAAAACACAAATGGAGATGTTAACTCTAATTGAACATCTAAAAAGAGACAAGTAATCATTTGTATTATGATATGGAATATAGAATCCAACATTCACCACAAAGAGAAAAATAAAAAATATAGAGAAGAGGCTAAGAACTAAGGAGGGTAGAGTGAGATGATCTTCACTACATATAGTGAACGTTCCAGGAGTAGAGGACAGGGACATTGATAAGAAACAAGATTTGAAGTTATTACACTTGAAAATGTCACTAGGTTGAGCAAACATCAATTTCAATATAATCAAGAAAGCAAACATGTCCCAAACATTTACGTGTTTTCAAGAGAATCAAATAGGACCATTTTTATTCTTATGTAAAAAGCTGAAGTGTGTCAGCACTGAGAATATGATTCCCATTCTTCCAAACAGAGTGAGCTTACATAATGAACCAAAGGACCAACTCTGGGCTCTGAAATCCATCACCAGGTTTGTACAGAAACCTGAAGTCCAGAGGGATACTACCATCCATTGTTCCGGAGCAGCAGCCATATTAAGTCAGGCCCATTCTTGAGAGACATGGGCTCCTCTGAAAGATGACTTTGCATTGAGGACACCCGATGGTCTTCCTGGACTTTCCATGGACTGTCACAGCAGCTTAGAAAAGTCACACTCACCCTTTCATTTCTCTCTCCCCTCAGGGTCAGACTTACTTTCTGTGCTGACTGCTCCTCCAGTCTCACAGGCCTTCTCTGCAGTTTAACTCGAACAGTTGTTTCCCCAGTAAATTCCACTCGAACTTAATCTTGAGTTGGTGTTTTCATCTTGGAGGACCCAGACTAACATATGCTCTTTAACAAAGTAATTGGTAATATGATCCTACTAGCATAGGCAAATATAAACTACATAAAAACCATGAATTAAGGGCCCTTGCTACACTAAAGAGAAAAATAGGCTAGGAAAAAAAGAGACTCCAGACAATTGCTGAGCCTGAGATGCACACTCCTGTGCATGCAGGAGGGTCAGATATGAACCTTACAATGCTTTTATATGTTACTGACCCTGACCTAGCCACTGTCTTGGCTCGAACCTGAATCCCAAATAGTATTGTATTTGGGAAATTCCACTGAAGGTCAGGCAGACTCTGCCTTGAGTCTGACCTTTAGAAGCAGATCACCAAGTTTGTCTCCTAAGGTGTCACTGGGTGGGTTTGAACCACCAATCTTACAGCCAGTAGTCAATGCTTCAACGTTTGTGTCCCCAAGGGACTCCATCTGCCCTGAGAACTATTGGAAAATAATCTACAGGTTTCCCTGAGCTTCTTCAGAACTCTGATCTTGGGACCCCTGGAAGAGTCATTTCTCCTCCATAAGGGACAGAGTGGTATTTTCTGCATGTGAAAATGTTTGCACCTGTTATAATACACCATTTAAATTCAGAGATACCAGCGGTAGACACAGAATCATAAAAATAGAGAGATTCCCTGGGGAAATGGTTAGATGGAGAAGAATCCCTAGAACATAACAGGAAACCAACCCTTAAACTGCATCTACACCTGCTCCTGCATCTGAATCCTGTACTCCACGTGTCCTGAGTGCCCCCTGCAGCCCAGTCATCTCCCTGCAGGGAGATTTGTGTCTGGGCTCACAGTGATTTCTGCTATAAAGTAATACAGGACAGTGCCCTCAGCTCTCAGACTGTCCATTTGCAGGTAAAGTGTGTTCTTGGAATTGTCTCTGGAGATGGTCAATAGAACCATCACGGAATGGGCATAGTTCTTTGTACAATTAAACTTACAACGCATAAATTCCAGCCCTGTAGGACAGAGTAGAACTGCCCCATAGGGTTTCCAAGGCTGTAATCTTTAAGCAAGTAGACTGACACATCTTTCTCCTTCAGAGTGGCTAGTTGTTTCTAACCTCCAACTTTTTGGTTAATAGTCAAGCGCTTTAACCACTGCACCACCATTGTTCCCTTAGTAAAATTATCAGGGTTAATTCGTGCAACGTAGTAAAGCCCCTTCCCTGAAGCCTGGAGAACCCAGTGTATCCAGTAACTACTGAAAGTGAATCCAGAGTCATCACAGGAGAGGTTCAGAGACTCTCCAGGCTGCCTCATGTCTCCACCAGACATTTGTCTCACATGTGTCCACTGTTTCTCCCACACATACTCATTGTACTCAATATGTCCTGTTCTTCATAAAATGACCTTTCAAAATAGTAACAAGGAAAACCCAACTCAGCCCAAAGTCCATGCTGCTGACTCCTGTATTCAGTCCAGATCACAGAATGCAGACACCTAAAAATTCCAGGGCTGAGGCTAGGCCAGTTTTCATAAGCAGAGGGAGGGGCCCTATATGCTTGTCCTCTTACTATACAGCGATCTCTGTGGTTGGGTGCCTTCAAAGAGGACGGTACCCCACAGCAGACAAGAGTGTTCTAGAGGAGTTGTGCGGCATTGATAGCATTCAGGATAAATTATTTCTTATCATGTGCGATGGGCTAAACAAGTAGTTCCCATATTATTTGTTACTCCATAATGTACTTACATATAAATGTTAAAAGACAGTCTTATGTAATTTGTTTAGCTTCTTTCACTCAACATACTTATGTGGGAATGAATCCATATTGCTGTGTCTATGAAGCATGAATTGATTTTAAAGCTCACTATTTCATTATTATGATGTTTTCTTATACCACACTTTGTTTAACTAATCACCTGCTGGTGGGTATTTTGATTTGTTCTACTTTCCTTTTATTATTTAAAAAGCTGCTACTCCATTGGAGATGAAATTAAATATTGTTTGTGTCATGGAAGAACTTATAAACTTGTGACATCATTCTTATTAATGGTATGAAAATCACCTGTATTAAATATATTCAATATTTATAATAAACTTTAAGTCTTAAAACAAAACTATAGCCTAAAGTTTTTTTTTAAAACCAAACAGTAGTTTAGCTTAATTAGTAAAAAGTGTCTGCCTTGAGCATTGTGCTCTTTTAAAGAATGATCTATATGTGATCAAATTCATGACAACATGGAAGATTAAATGACAAGCTTTAAAGGAAGTTATTTTATGATAATAGTAGAGGATTCATTTGGAAAAGGATATTGAAAATGTTTGCAAAACTTGAGGACTGTAGAGGGAGTTCCAGAAAAATGGTGCTCTAGTCAGAAGCACTATGCTGTCTCTCCACAGCAAAGATCTGAAAAACTAAGCCAAACAGAGAATACAACAATCCTGAAACCCTGAAACATCAAATGAAGAGATAAAGAACTCAGCCAAGCACCAAATGGACTGAGAAAACTGACAGAGAACGGAGAGCGAGGAGAGATTCATGCAGAGGTCCCCTACCAGCTAATGCAGCATGGATCCACCATCTTGGACTCCTATTGGAGACCACCAAACGGGGGTACAAGAAAGCAGCCTCACGGAGCGTCCAGCTGGAGACAAAACAACCGGTAATTTGTGGTGTGCCTTTTCCCACCCCCCACCCTTCTTTGCCCCAGCTCGACCTCCTCTTCTTCCCACAGCCACGGTCTCTTGACCGGGAAGCGCCAGCTGCTTAGATTCCACACACCCAAGCAGGCGGCTCTCTGGGTGCCATTTTTTGGCTGCTAGTGTTGCTTTTTTTTTCTGCTTCTTTTGATTTCTCACTTGCCTCTCGCCACCTCCCCCTCCTTTCACTCGAGTGCCTGGCTCTGTGCGCCATCTTTGCTTCTTCCTGAGGAGCTCCAGAGTGCTGGCAATTTGTGATATATGCTTTCCCACTCTCTACCCTTCT